CATTCCATTCCCGCTTTGCGTCAGATTCACGTCTCGAACGCTGCATCCAGTCACGCACAAGATTTCACATCCAAGTTGGCTCGAGCTAGAGCTGAAGCGCGTCGAAGGGAACACAATTCATCGCTCCACCAACACGCAAAGAATCCACGTGAAATTCGTGCACCTGTTTCAGCGCACTCTAGTGCACAAAGTCTGCCAATCGGACCTGCGAACGCTTACTTGTCTTCATTGCCTGATGAGGAGAAGATCAGCCGAGCGAGGGACAGAGCGATGGAAGGGATGGTGAGGGGACAATTTGCTGGACCCACCCCCAGAGGCTGGAGAGGGGATCTGATCGGCGGAAGTTCAGGACTGAGCAGGGAGTATAGAAGCAGAAACTTGCCACCGCATCTGCTCCATGGCGTGCGCTCCGCCACCGAGGCGAGCGCAAAGAAAGGCAAGAGGCGCGCTGAACATTCGCCAGTCGGTCTCCCCGCTCGAGATGATCGCGCGCCGCTCTACGCATCGGTGCGGAGAACGAGACTGGCGAAGGGCTTCAAGCTGTTCTTGAACGAGACCCTCGACCTGCGCGGTCCCTCGAGCGAGTCTGGGTCGAGCATGTACGAAGCAGATCTCATCCCTTCACCAAGACACTCTCCGCTTCTGTCGCTAACAGACCTCACACTGATAGCTCTCTCCGAGAATCTGTGTTGCGGGGACGTCGCTGCGCAAGAAGCTGCCACATCTTTGCCCTTTCATCTTTTGCTTCGACTATTGGCCATCTGTGGTCGAGACGCGCTTGGCAAGCCTTTGAGCAACAGCACGATCAAGGTGCTGCTCATGCCCGGACATGCTGCAGATGATGATCTACGGGAAGGGGAAGACGGACTTGCAAGCGCGGCGGGCGAACTGCGAGTGTGCGATGCACCGTTGGACGCTACATCCACTTCTGACAGTTTGGACGACTGGGAGAGTGCAAAGGATGCGTGGGAACCCGCTTTGCTAGATTTCACATCTTCTGGCATCCGAGCCAGCACCTTGCGCGCCGTTCTTGGCTTCGATCGCGCGGACGCCCAGGATTCCGGAAGGACAGCAAGTTCTGAAGGCAATGTGGTCCAGCTCAGCACACATCTGACTTCTACTCCTCGCACTTCGGTCAACGTTTGGCTAAGACACATCTCCTTGGCTGAGTGCTCAATCAGCAACCTTCCAAAGTATTTGTGCTGTCCCAACTTGGAATCACTGTCTCTGGCCGGGTGCGATGCAACGATCCTCCTCTCCGCGTCCGTCATTCCTGCATCAGCCTCGGGGATCTTGCAGGCCGATGTGGACGTCACGCGGACGACGACGACGGATGCGGAGTTGACGGCCGGCCTACGCAAACTTGCACGTGCCACTCCAAAGCTTTGCAAGTTGGATCTGAGCCATTGCGATTGGGTGAATGCGAGGATACTGGGAGCAGTGGGCTGGTGGAGCATCTCTCCTTGCAAATCCATCGATTTTCGATCCTCTTCGAGCACCCGCGCTGCACGCTCGATGAGCGAGGAGCATGGATGCAGAGGAACGTGGTCGGAAATGAAGATGCTGCTAGTTCGAGCTCCTGCATTTTGGCCCGGCGAGGTGTTCGAAGATGAGCCCTCGATCGCTTCGAGCGGCAAGAAGGGCACTACAAAGCCCATAGATGCTTACCCTTGCGAGCCGTCAGAACCTTTTGTGGCACCATGGCACGCCGCCAATTTCCTCACCTCGGCTCCGGGCTGGAGGCGCGCAGAAGCGAGCCAGATTGCCGCTGGTGCTGCTGGCTGGACAGTGAGCGCTCGGCCAGGAATGCGGAGCAGAAGAGACGTTCA